TTTTCTCTGGTCATTTCCAAACGTATCTCAACAGGTTTGTCACATGAAGTTTTAATCTAGATATTTGCATTTCAGTTTGGACTTCAAAAGGCTACCACTGCATTAAATAAGCATACTTGATTTTTAGCCCATCAACCACTGTGTGAGATGTCCTTGAACACCAAAGAATCTCTACTTAGACTAATATCTCTTAGCATTTGCCTTCAAGAGATTGTGGTTTACTGAGCTAATTTGTAATTGGTAGTTAACGACAGTGATAACGTAAACAGACACTCCTATCTAATGATAGCTGAAGGTATACATTTTGGGTGGTGAATCTCATGGGTGTTGTGACAAAAATGGAAATATATATGTCAGGATGTGGGGCCATCTGAATATTATATATTATATAAGATTACATAGAGTACATATATGAGCATATAACACTGCCTGAATTCCACAGTGTGTGTGCAATTTGGTACAGTATATTTCAGTTTAAATATAGTATATATCTGTTTATATACAGCATACAAAAGCATATGGCAGTATAAATTCTACAGTTTATAGCATATCTGTCAGTCTATGTACAGTATATAAGGGTATGTATGGTATATTAGGGACTTCTCTGAGTGTCTTTCTTTTCTTAGATAGGATTGCAGAGCTGATAACAGTAGCTTTCCTCTGTAACTGAATGAGGAAGTGTTTTTGTACAGCTCTGTCACTGTTTTCTATCACTGTGAGTCTCTTGCACAGTAATACACAGCAGTGTCTTCACTCTTCAGTCTGTCCATCTGTAAGTACAGCTGACTGCTGGAGTCGGATCTGGAGATTGTGAATCTTCCCTGGAATGACTGGGAATAGGAGGTGGAATAGCTGTATGTGGATGTTTCAATAGTAGCAATCCACTCCAGTCCTTTTCCAGGAGCTTGTCTGACCCAGGCCATAGCTGAGCTACTGAATGAGAATCCCGAAGCTGTACAGGTCAGTTTATGAGACTCTCCTGGTGTTTTATCCACAGCTTCAGACTGAGTGAGAGTCTGACTCTGAAAACCTGCAGAAAAGAAGAAGAATTAAAGTTCTGAATGAAACATGATCACAGAAAGATTTTCTCTGCTATTTCATTCTCTTATTCTAATCCTGAGACGTACATGGTAGACTAGTGATCATCAGCAGTGTTAGAGATGTGCTGAACATGGTTGAGGTTGTGTCTGAGCTGATGAGCTCTTCTCTGCAGATCTCTCAGTGCTGTTCAGCGTCTCTTCATAAAGGGAGGAGGAGGATTTGCATGGTTACAGTTTCAGATGGATTACCTCACTCATCAGCACTTTATTTGAAGACTACCTACAGAGGAACGTCATGACACACATAAAAGCATCGAATAATATTTAAAAAGAAATTATTGATTTTTTTATGTCAGTACTGGCAAGATGGTGGAAGGTGCTTTATGAGATGTAAGACCTTATACTGACTAAAGTGATCTGTATCAGGCATCTGTTCCATTTAAAACACTGTTATGAAGCAGAACTCCCAAGTAATAGAACTTCAGAGGGATATATAAGTCAGTTATGTCGGCAGCAACACAGACAAGCAGTATCTTAGCTCCAGTGTAGACTCCTCTGACTCTAGCTTAGCACTACAAAAGATTTTTTCTAATCGACCTGCAAAGAACAGTTTCAGTTTCAGATGGATCACATCACTCAGCTGATAACTGTTCATACATATTTGGAGTTAGTACACTTACACTGTTCTGCCTTTCAGTAAGATTGCCAGATCTCATTGCTGTTATTGTGTCCTTCGTTCTCTCTTATGTGAGATGTATTTAATTGCCTTTTGAAAGTCACTGCAAATGATAAATAACAGGTTCATCCACCTTTTTATCCCATACCTCAGCATAACTAAGCCTAAACTGAAAGCTGCACAAATACATTTCACACGCTTTTTAACCAATTTACCCCATCATTTATTTTTGTGCTTTGTATTGATTGATCTGATTGATGTTTACTCCTCCACAACGCATTCAAAGCTATTTTAAAGGTGTAATTTCCTCCATGGGAAGAATTCTTTTTCTGTCTTAAGCCACAAAGTAGGATTCGCTGCCATTAGATACTCACTCCAACGCTTATGCTAGTTACTGCTAATAACTCTAAATAAAGTTAAGTAGCTAACGTTTGTAGGTGTCTTGGGACAGAAAACTGTGCTTAGCTAGCTAACATTAGCATTATTAGCTAACCCTAAGAACTGACAAATCCACACCAGGACACAAATCTGGGAGCAGCCTTATGTCGAGAACAACTGATCTTAATATCTTGTGTACAGGAACCAGATATCGAGGCCTGCCTGCAGAACATCAGGTGGTCATTTTTATATAGGATAGACTGTTGCCAAGATTAGGCACAGGCTGTACACGACATATGACAGGTGTGACAGATGTGATCAAACAGGGACAAACAAGAATAGGCTGAACAGATTGTTCTGGGTTCAGACACGTTCCACATAAACAATACTGAATATAATAGCATATAACACAACTATAAAGCATATAACACAGCAGCACATCTGTTCAGAACCAATGAAAGAATAAGGAATTAGTGTAAAGTCATGAATTATGAGTCTATGCTTGATTGTATACCCAGTAATACACAGCAGTGTCTTCTCTCTTCAAGCTGTTGAACTGTGAGTATAGCTAACAGCTGGAATCAGATCTGAAGATTGTGAGAGCGATTTTGAGAGAATATCCATCCAACAGTCATTTCACTGAGGTAAACAGGATCGTGACCATGAAGACTTTCAAGTTATAAGAGTTGAAAAATCAATTCTATAATTTTTTATCAAATCTATGAACTCTATGAGTTTATAGTTTGAATAATATTAATGTTTTAGCACCTCCTGCTGGTCAATATTTAAAGTCTGTTCCCTTGTTTAACCACACTGGTGGGTTTTTGTACAGCTGGCTCACATGTTTATACCTCTGTGGTTTCCTGCACAGTAATACACAGCTGAGTCCTGTGCAGTCAAGCCACTCAGCTTCATGTTCACCATGTTTTGGGAGTCTGTTTTGGTAATTTCCATACGTCCCTCAACAGGTTTAATATAAGCAGTTTTACTGGAATCAGACCAGATTGTCCCAATCCACTCCAGCGGTTTTCCAGCCTGTTGTCTGATCCAGTGCATGCCAGAGCCTCCAAAGTTAAATCCAGATCCTCTACAGGAGAGACTCAGAGTTTCTCCAGGTTTTTTCAGCACAGAATCAGAAGGAATGGATTCAAGACTTTGGCATTTTACACCTGTCAGAAAACAGAGACATTAAATAAAACAGATTTTGTTCAACATTTAGATGATTTTTTTTTTTCTTTTTTATAGAAAAGCATGAAAAACCACATAAAACCATTTTATCTTAGATACTCACTGCTGAAGCTGAGTAGTATCAGTAATAAGGAGAGTGTATTCTTCATGGTGAGTGTTGCACCATTTAAGGTGGAATGAGAAGATTAGAACAAGATGCTGGTGAGGTGCGACTTCAGCCCCGGGAACAAGAAACTATTCTACTTTTGTTTCCTGCTGGAGATGCGAGAAAAGCAGCTGTAGTTGTGCTAAACCTTAAAGCAGAGCAAAGTAAGTCTGTGTTTTCATTTATATTTTATTTTTTAGCCTATTTTTAGTACATTAACACATACTGAGACATACTTACAGCCAAGATGGTAAAATGGATATAAAATGTTGTGGCTCCCAAGGTGGTTTAATTTTTGTTGAAAAAACAAAATGGCTCTTCTTAACATTTAGGTTGCTGAGCCCTGGGCTAGTATATATCAGTTTATATATATATATATATATATATATATATATATATATATATATATATATATATATATATATATATATATATATATAAAATATTGTGGCTTCATGCAGAAGAAGAGTGAGATGAGGCCATCATTTTTGTTCGAGCAAGAGTCACAGATCTGCATACCTCAGCCCAAAAGCCCCCACTGCAAATGGAGCAAGTGGCCGCCACGACAATATATCAGTGTAATTTTGAGGTCAGTGAAATTATAGTAGTACGTTAACAGAACAAGAAAAAGTTCAGTGTTAGACATTGGTTTTGTTTTCTGCTTCTCTCATTCCAAATAATCCCAAACACACTCAGTGATGTTGGGGTCTGGACTCTGGGGTGGTTAGTCCATTGTTCTGAGAACACCAGCAGCTTCTTTGTTTGATTTGCAAATGTTCTTTTTGGCCCGTCTCCTTTTCTCAGTGAGGTTTTTCTTGACAGCTACACATCCTATCAGACCCATAGCGCTGAGTTGTCACAGTGGAAGGATGGACAGAAACACCTGTGGATGTTTTCAGATCTTAAGCAGTTTGATTTTCTCCTCTTTCTCAAAGATGAAAACCTTAAGTGCTGTTTAACTGATGGGGTCAGTTTTGGTGTCTACCAGGTTTTGTACATTTGTTATTTGTCCCATTTTCTCTGTTACTTTTAATATTTCTAAAAAACTTCTGTTTTTTCACTTTCACTTGACTTTTTCTTCCTAGCGCATGGATTATTCTATATGTAATCTCCTCAGAAATATCTCCGGAAAAAAATAATGACTTAATGGCCATTTTGCCAGGAAAGTAAATAAATGAAGGGGGGTCTCTGAATTTTGCACAGCACTATAAACCACATATCCTGCCTTCCACCCAGTGACCACTGCGATATGCTGCAGCACCCCCCAGTGACCCAGGAGGATAAGAGATTTAGAAAATCTGTGTGTGTGTGTGTGTGTGTGTGTGTGTGTGTATGTGTGTGTGTGTATATGTGTGTGTATTACAGACCTGAGAGTACTTTTAATGAAACGTCTTTAAGAGTATAAAAATGTGTGTCTGTTAACTGTTGAAAGTGTTGAATTTCAAACTCAATAGAAAAGAAAGTTAAAGAGGAATAAAGACTTCAACCATTTCTGTACTGAATTAATCCATGTGTTACTGATAAAACCTTTCACAGTGGAGAGAGGATGTTTTTGTACAGGGTGTCTGTTGATGTGTTTCACTGTGGATATCGAGCGCAGTAATACACAGCTGTGTCTCCAGTCTGCAGATTCTGTCCTCTTAAGGTCACTGTGCTGCTGGACGTGTCTCTAGTGATTTCAAACCTGCTTTTCAGTTTATCACTGTAGTCAGGGCTACCACCACTACAAATCCTTTCAATCCACTCCAGAGTTTTTCCTGCAGGCTGCCGTATCCAGGCTGTACAGTAGCTGCTATCAGTCAGCGAATATCCAGAAACTTTACAGGTCAGTGACATCGACTGACCAGGATTTTTGACCATGGATCCAGGCTGGGTCAGCTCAACACAGTGAACACCTGAAAATGTTATAATTATCATTATAAAAGGGAAAGTCCGTACATACTTATAAAATGTTCTGCAGTAAGTCCAAAAGCACTCACAGGTCACAGTGGTCAGCAGCAGCAGCAGAGATGTAGAGAACATGGTGTGGGGTTGAAGCTGAATGAGGGAAAGGTGCTGGTCTTCGCCTCCATCTGCTTAAATATGTATTAGAGGGAAGAATATTTGCATACAGCTGCTCTTAATGTAGATATGATTATGTGCCTGATATCAGAGACATTACTACAGTAACACATCAACTCCGCTATATAAACAATATAAACTGCTAAATAAAGTTGTCATGACAGTTTTTTTTCAGTAATATAACAGTGTCATGTTAACATTACTGATAAATGATCAATTGATAATTTATACATATGATAGATGTATTAATATTTGATGTTATGACAGATAAATACATTGTACAAAACAATATTTTCACAAAGTCCTGTAAAACGTAATGATCAATACCTGTTTTATTAAAGTTAAATGCAAATTAATAAACATAATATATTTTTACACTGCTATTATTAATTAACCAAAATAGAATGTACTTTCATAAAAACACAAAAATTACCTTCACTTCACCAACATTTGTATTTATTTTAACAGTTGTTACTGTTATTATCATGGTAAAATATTGTATGTCAGAATAACTAGTTGAACTAATAAACTTGCAGAATCACAGTAAAAGATATTTCTAAGAAATTAAATGACTGTTTACAGATTTTTACCATCATTGAGAAAACATACTTTCCCTATTCATTAACGCATTTCATTACATTTCATTACATTGTATATCTCTTATTGGTCCTCTCTGGGAGTTTTAATGGTTATATTCCAGCACTAAGCCTAAACACAGTCAGGTCTGTGACTGTTATGTACTTTCATTGTATTTAAACTTTACATTTTTTTGAATTTTGTGATTCATTGATTGTAATATTCATTCAGTTTGTAGATAGCAGACTTGTGAGACACTAAACAAATCAAATATGCATAATATGATCTATTGATTAGAAGTAGTAGTAATATTAATGGGTGTTCTTACAGCTTTGACCATTTTTAGGCCCAGATAGCAGACTTTACAAATAGGTCTTAACAGTAGATCATAACAAACAGAAAATAAGGTTATGCTTTACTGTAGGGGCATGCACATAAGCCTGGCAGACTTGTATAAACTTTCAGAAACACTTATTCCAATAGGTAAAAGTTTTGTCATATTTGTTTACTTACCAGTGTTGATGTCAAGCTGACATAACACATTGATTTTTCCTGATTATTAGGTTGTCGTGAGAGTTTCTGGGGTGAAATGACAAAGACACTGTAAACTGTATATCACAGTGACATAACGCTGATAATATGACATCGCCTACCAAGCCATAGCTGGCAGGGACTTTAATTTTAACAATGATAAGATGTAATCAATCACATGATCAAGCATTATGTAACTGTGGTATACACTAATATACGAAATCACTGGTTATGATGTCATTTCAACCAAAAAGTGACGCAGCCCTTCTCGTGTCACGTGTAACATAAACGTTATGTTATAGCACCTCCTGCTGATCTTGAGAGGATCTTGAGGCTACATTGTGTGTTCTGTTATTTTATCAACTCTAGTGAGTTCTTGTGCTGCTGGTTCACATTTTTGCATCACCCTAGTAACTCCCAGCTGAGTCCTGTGCTGTCAAGCCAATCAGTTTTCTCTGGTCATTTCTGAACATCACTCAACAGGTTTGTCATATCTAGATTACAAGAGAACCTCTACTTAGACTAATGGCTCTTAGGATTTGGTTTCAAGAGATTATGGTTTACTGAAGTATATTTATAAATGGTAGTTAAAGACAGTGATAAAATAAACAGACATTCCTATCTAATGTTAGCTGAACATATAAATTTTGGGTGGTGAGGCTTGTGAGTTTATAGCATATCTGTTATTTATATACAGTATTTAAGGGTATGTGTGGTATATAAGTGAATTCTCTGAGTGTCTTTCTTTTCTCAGCTAGGATTGCAGAGCTGATAACAGCAGCTTTCCTCTGTAACTGAATGAGGAAGTGTTTTTGTACAGCTCTGTCACTGTTTTCTATCACTGTGAGAATCTAGCACAGTAATACACAGCAGTGTCTTCACTCTTCAGGCTGCTCATCTGTAAGTACAGCTGACTGCTGGAGTCGGATCTGGAGATCGTGAATCTTCCCTGGACTGACTGAGGATAGTAGTTGGAATAGCTGTATGTGGATGTGTGTATGAATGCAATCCACTCCAGTCCTTTCCCAGGAGCCTGTCTGATCCAGGCCATATAATAGTCACTGAATGTGAATCCAGAAGCTGTACAGGTCAGTTTATGAGATTGTCCAGGTGTTTTAACCACAGCTTCAGACTGAGTGAGAGTCTGACTCTGAAAACCTGCAGAAAAGAAGAAGAATTAAAGTTCTGAATGAAACATGATCACAGAAAGATTCTCTCTGCTATTTCATTCTCTTATTCTAATCCTGAGACGTACATGGTAGACTAGTGATCATCAGCAGTGTTAGAGATGTGCTGAACATGGTCGAGGTTGTGTCTGAGCTGATGAGCTCTTCTCTGCAGATCTCTCAGTGCTGTTCAGCGTCTGTTCATAAAGGGAGGAGGAGGATTTGCATAGTTACAGTTTCAGAGGGATTATATCACTCATCTGCACTTTATTTGATGGCCACATACAGAGGAAATTTATTACACAGAAATAAGAAATGGATAACATCTAAAAATTAATACTTGCTTGTTTATGAACAGATTCTGTCAACATTGAAAATACGGCAAGAGATGTTTTAAGAAATAAATTACATTACACTAGAATGACGGGCCATAATATAAAGTGACAAACATCAATTAATTTAAAACACTGTAATGAAGCATCATTCCCAGGTAGTAGAACTTTAAAGGCACAGTGGTATTTAAGTTAGCTGTTTATCTGCATCTACACAGGAAATGATCCCATTCATAACATGTATGTAGCTCCAGCAGTGTGATTGTGTTGTGGTGTGGTAGCTAAACCAAAGTTCTACCTTTAAACCATCCTGTACTGTGACAGTATTTACATGGCAAGAGCAGATGTCTATGGTTCTTTATATTGGAATAGTATAGATTTGTATTATTCCACATATTTGATCAGGTTAACTTTTTACAACACATTTGTTTCACAGTAATTATGTAGGAGTTACACTTTGAAATATCTACACATATACATGTACAGTGACATTACAGATTGTTAATCCAGATATAGTTTTTGGGTTAGCATAATACACTGAATTACATAAAAGTTACTTTTAAATATAAGTGCTTTTGCTGTGCAAATATGCTATTACAAGACAAATTATGTTGTTACTACTAGCAAGACACACCGTTGAAATTACATAAGTAAAATTAGAGATGATACATGTGTATTTATATAAGCTGTGCTACTGTAATCCATCTGTAACAGTGAATACATTGCTGGTAATTATGTATTGTTATTGATGTATTGTTAATGCTTTGCTACACAGTTAATAAAGAGAATTAAGCTAAATCTGGATCTGAAACTTTTTTTACTACCTTCAGTGTGACATTTTTGACTAGATTCAAATTCAGACAGATTATAATTATTTTGTTGAAAAGTGGTTTTAATAAACATGATTCTCTTAAAAGCATCCTAAATCAGAGTCGTTAGTAATGACATACCCTATCTTCATTTTTGAGATCAAGTTGCTCTCTGTTGGTTATATTTCTCTGAATTATGACCTTTTATATACTGTTAATACTAACTGTAATAATACTTAATTTCATAAATAGCACATATGGATTAAAAAATGAAGTTAGCTTCTACCATATTAATAACTGTCAAAACAAGCTTTTCTGAAAACAAAAAGTACGTGCTGATGGCAGCTGTCCTCTGTGAATGAAGGGAAGTGTTTTTGTACAGCTCTGTCACTGTTTTCTATCAACGTGAGTCTCTTGCACAGTAATACACAGCAGTGTCTTCACTCTTCAGGCTGCTCATCTGTAAGTACAGCTGACTGCTGGAGTCGGATCTGGAGATTGTGAATCTTCCCTGGACTGACTGGGAATAGTAGATGGGAGAGCTGTAAGTGCCAATATATGCAATCCACTCCAGTCCCTTCCCAGGAGCCTGTCTGATCCAGGCCATATAATAGTCACTGAATGTGAATCCAGATGTTGTACAGGTCAGTTTATGAGATTCTCCAGGTGTTTTAACCACAGCTTCAGACTGAGTGAGAGTCTGACTCTGAAAACCTGCAGAAAAGAAGAAGAATTAAAGTTCTGAATGAAACATGATCACAGAAAGATTTTCTCTGCTATTTCATTCTCTTATTCTAATCCTGAGACGTACATGGTAGACTAGTGATCATCAGCAGTGTTAGAGATGTGCTGAACATGGTTGAGGTTGTGTCTGAGCTGATGAGCTCTTCTCTGCAGATCTCTCAGTGCTGTTCAGCGTCTCTTCATAAAGGGAGGAGGAGGATTTGCATGGTTACAGTTTCAGAGGTGATTACCTCACTCATCTGATGACTGTAAGTTCTTATAATTGGGTGTTGTACTCTCACATCATTCACCTTGCAAACTGCAGCATAAGCTTTAAGTTAGTTAAATCCTCTGTGAATTGATTTTGTATTTAGTGGGAAAGACGTTTTCACATTTTTCTTGAAGCACTTATAGAAATCTTTACTCATATTCACTGTAGCTCAGATTAAGCCAATATGTATTGCCCAGCCTCAACTGTATGATTAAAATAGTGAACATGTTCACTATTTTAAATGGAGATGTTTACTGTAGGCTGTATGTTCCCAAGTAATGGCAAAGCTAATGTCACACTTTGTTCTCTTAAAACAGTTAGGATAGTGGTTAAAGTAAGCAAAATATGCTAAAAATGTTTTCTATTATTTTTTAGGAGTAAAAGCAGTCAAGTAGCCATCCTCAACCCTGTAATCAATAATTCCTCTCCCATCATAAAGATACCCTGAGGTAAAATCACAGAACCCCACCTCATCATAGGAATCAATCCCATCCTAATAGTACTAAAGAGGTAGTTAACATTCTACAAAAGATTCTCATGGCTATACAACACCACTACATTCCAGCACAGACTGGTGAGAGTGACTATAGTTTTTGTTTTCTATCTAATGTGCTGCTAAATCACAACCAGACAATACAGAGACAGTCCAACACAGTCACTCTATAACATGAGTTTTTATCCTTTAATGTGTGTCATGTAGAGTAGGCTGGCCTTCACTCTCTGCTATCATCCTATCATCCTAGCCATCGTAGGCCATGAAGTAGCAGTTAGCATTCTCCTCCAAGTGTTTAAGCAGACCAATAATGAAGTGTTAATGGCAGACAAAAGAAATGTAGTGCAATTTTACATGTCTCAGAGGTATTATATGCTAGCCCCATATCAGATTATTAGCATCTTATGATGGGGGAGACATAATGTGCTGAGTAAAGTGGAAAATAATGTTTATATATATTGACTAAAATCTTGTAAAATTCTGAAAGATGTGGAAAAATAATGAAGGGAATTCATGGGTTTCAAGGAGAGGAGGAAGAAAAGAATGTTCTACCCTTCACTTTAAACTCCTGAGGGTGTGTTTGATAAATGTCTCAATGTATTTTTAATGTTGTAGCTCCCCCTACCGAACTAATATGG